AACCCGGAAACACTCATGAATCTATGGAACATAACATCGCACACACTGCGCTACCGACCATAGATCCTGCTGTGTTATTGGAGCTGGAGGCTCCATTCTCCCAATCCGAGGTAGACACTGCTATCTGGACCCTTAAAACCGGTAAATGTGCGGGACCAGGTGGCTACTCGCCCCGGTTTTATAAAGTTCTCTCCGATTTGGTGTCCCCAATTCTGACCCGTACCTTTAACTCAGTGGACGATACACACCCCTTTCTAGGGATGCACCGATACCGATACTAGTATCGGAATCGGTGCCGATACCGAGTATTTGGGTGAGTACTCGTACTCGCCCAAATGCTCCGATGCCTAGCACGAGTACTTCCTGTATCAGGAAGCCGGGCAGCGCATCATTACACGCTGCCCGGTTTCCTGATTGGCCCGGAAACGGCTCCATGCTCTCTCCTCATTTGTGAGGAGAGAGCATGGAGCCGATTTCCCGGCCAATAAGGAAGCTGGGTAGCGTGTAATGACGCCCTGCCTGGCTTCCCGATTGGTCAGGAAGCTAGCAAATCCGGAAGCGGGGCGCCGTGTAATGACGCAGCGCCGGCATTCTGATTGGCCGGAAAGGCGGCGTCATGCTCCCTCGTCATCTCATGAATCATAATATTAAGAAACTGACCTTAAATCATTAGTTTGTATTGCTTTAGAAAAAATGTGACCTGTCCCTTTAAGAAAAAGTATCGGTAATTGGTATCGGTGAGTACTTGATCAAATGTATCGGTACTCGTACTCGGTCGTACAAAAGTGGTATTGGTGCATCCCTACCCCTTTCCCTCTACCATGCTAGAGGTGAATATCTGTTATTCCCAAACCCGGTAAGGACACTTCCCTAGGTCAGAATTTTAGGCTGATTTCGCTGCTTAACATTGATGTTAAATTATTCTCGAAACTTTTAGTGCTCCGTCTTTCCCCCTCTCTACCGTCCATCATCAACCCGGAACAAGTCAGCTTTGTACCAGGGAGAGAGGCTAGGGAGAACACCACTAAAACAATCCATCTAATATTTCGCATTCGTAAACATAACACCAGGGCGTGCTTGCTGTCCATTGATGCTGAGAAGGCATTTGGTCGAGTTAACTGGAGATTCCTTCGTCAAGCTCTACTCCAACTTGGATTGGGGCCTGCTATTCTCTCCAAGATCATGTCTCTCTACTCCTCCCCCACGGTGCGGATAATGGTGAATGGATCGTTCTCTGAGCCATTATCTATCTCCAATGGCACTAGACAGGGTTGTCCTCTCTCCCCTCTTCTTTATGTTATAGTGATGGAACACTTGGCGCAGGCTATCCCCCGATATACACGGCATCCCTACCCCCTCCTTTATTCACAAGATGTCCTTATTTTCAGATGACTTCTATATCTCACAAGTCCCCATATCAGCATCACGGCTCTAAGAGAATTTGATGGATTTGGCAGGCTCAGTAATTTTAAAACCAACATGGCTAAATCAACTGCCCTTAACCTCACATTAGCTCCTGCAACGGTTGCCCTTTTACGCAGCAATTTTCCCTTCCAATGGCAACCCCGGTCCCTCACCTATCTGGGCATCGCCATCCCATTTAACCTGTCGGATCTTTTTCAATTGAACTACTTACCCCTTCTAAGCTCCCTTTGCAAGGCTTTTGAGTCATACCACAACGTGAAGATTTTGTGGTTCGGCAAAATTGTAGCAAAAATGTCAAAAGTGTGTCAGTCATTTACGAACAGAAACTAAAAACAAGCTCAGTCATGAAGGGGTTAAAGATGGAGACCCTCCCAAAACTACTATACCTTTTTCAAACTATCCCTATAAGCCCTCCAAAACACTTTTTAGTACCTTACGCTCCATGGTGAATCGTTTTAGGTGGCAGAAGGGTTACTCCCGTATACGTTATAAAACCCTTGGCAAACATAAATCTCAGGGTGGGGTGGGCCTACACGACTTCGAGATGTACCATAAAACCGCTCTCCTGACCCGAATCTTAGATTTGTTCTCAACTCCCTTGTCACAGCCCACACCGTCGGTGCTGATTGAACAGGACCTGAGCCCGGTAGATATTAGAGCCCTACGCTGGAATCCTCCAGTTAATCTGCTATATTCTCTCGTCCATCTCCTCTCACAATTGCAACTTTGAGGTCATGGCACGGTGCCCATCCCGCTCACACTCTCTCTACTATGCCTAGTCCGCTCTCTCCTTTATTTGTTCCCCACCAGGGTTGCCATTTCCTCGGTTGGGGTCTATAAGAGAGGTGACTGGCCTACAGCTAGGGACTTCATACACCCTTCTACTGGCCGCTTTGTGGCGCCGGCAGATGATCTGCCGGGTCCTTCAGTAAATTGGCTGTTGGACCGGCAGCTGTCTGGATTTTGTACAACCCTATATATCTCTGGACAAACTCACAGACCGCTGACACCCTTTGAACGCATGATTGCTTCAAGCGAACGGGCTCGCCACACTATATCAGTCATTTATGGGATGCTGGGAGATGTTCTTCATCAGGTGTCGCTGGGTTCCCGAGCCCAGGGCATGATAAATTGTACAGGGACTTGTCGGACTCAGACTGGGACACCATTTATCACTACACTCATAAATCGTGTCTCATATGCCCAGGAAAAGAACTACAAAATGATCACTAGGTGGTATAGAGACCCGGTCTCCTTACATCGGATCTTCCCTTCTTCTTCAGAGACCTGCTGGCGGTGCAACGAGGTAGGGGTACCTATCTGCATATTTGGTGGACTTGTCCTTTGATCATTTCGTTTGGCAAAAAAAATGTGGGGTCTACAATCATTTATATGGGGATACCTTAGCACTTTCACCAGCTATTGCCTTATTGTCGCTTCTTCCGGGGCCCCGGCAGACCCAAAAAAACATGATATTTAGACATCTTCTGTCCGCAGCCCGCCAAGTTATTCCCCTGTATTGGAAAAAGCAGCTACTCCACCCCTCTCCATGTGGGTTAGCCAGGTCAACGACAATGCACATGGAGGAGCTATTGGCGAATGATGCTGATACCTTCCCTAAGTTCATGTCCCAATGGAGTATATGGATACACTTCTCTTCCTCCGCCGATCTCCAGCCCTTCCTATGAACGTATTAACCTAGGGGGCTACAGGAGGACTGTGCTCACTGTGTACACCCTCGGCTCGTGATATGTATCTCTCCCCCCCCTGATCTTTTCTTTTCCACGCTACCCGCCTTTCTTGGTTCTCTTCTCTCTGTCTTCCCTCTGTATACTTTTTTTCCCCCCTTTTTCTTTTTCTGGTATAGACTGTTGTTCAAACTGTTCGTTTGGAGACTATATTAGGCGGTACTGTGGGCCCTCATTACCATCTTGTCTTGAATTGTATTGTGATTGTAATGTGTTCCTTATATTGTGAAGCGCTGCCCAAACTGTTGGCGCTATATAAATCCTGTATAATAATAATACTGATAGTGCTAGGTTAAACCGTATCGGGCTGCTCTAACAGAGAGAGATAGAGAGAGAGATTAAAATGTATGCACACAAAATCTGTGCTTTTAGAAGTTTCAGATTTGGTTTCCTTTACTATCTGCCAAAACTTGAAGGTGACTAAATGCTTGTGCTCTGTACATTTGTAGCGTGTCATACAGCACCTTCTTCCTGGTTTTAAACTGATCAATTGCTTGTTGTTTTTTCCTCTTAAGTGTTTGAACGCAAATCACTAAGGCAAAGATGCTGGCCATTACTCAAAGGGAACAAACAACAAGACCAATTTATTTCAGGGAAAATTCAGCAATCACAGGAAAGCGTCAGCCTGTTGGGTATGCTTTCTTGTAAGAATGTATGTATGCAAGAATACATACATACACAGTTCCAAAAGGTACACACTGCCCTCTGTGATTGGCACATATAAAACTATACATAAAAAAGGTCATTAGTACATACCAAAATCTTCATGTGTGCCTTTTACACAAAGTACAGCAGACTCCAGGTTCTGGTGCGGTTTGAACCTGATCTGTACATCCTGCAATGCCCTAAAAAAAAAAAAATCACAGTATACTGAGGCTCAATACATCAAATGAAAGATGTAAATGTAATCAAAATGCCTTAGGTACTTACTTTGTGTGAACACAAAATAGTTTTATAAGTACAATGGTGGCATCATCCCCTTCATCAGATTCCAGTGCCTCTTCTACAAATACAACAAAGTAAAATACTTAAGAAAAAGGACAATACATTTTTCAACCTTTAAAGAGAACCCATCATGTCCAAAACAAACATTGGTAAAGTGCAGGTACCTGGTATCGGATACATGGTAGTACATGTGCATGTCTTCCAATCAGTTTTTCCTGGGAAGGACTAGGGAACTTAGGTCCAGAATGTTTATAGCACCTCAGCTTTTCTAAATGCTGACATTCAATCATATCCTCCACATCAACTTACCAGATGTCAAAACATTGACAGGTTACTAAGTAATTGTAAGGGGTGGCAAATAATGTCAACATATTACAAAGTTGAAGGTCTGTACATAGCTCAGGCCTAGAACCCACAATCATTCCCTGGAACAAACTAACTTACGGACAAGCATGGGTAAATGCAAGTTCAATAAAGTGTGCTTTTCAAGTAATTTTAGCTCACACACTTTGGTAAACCTGACAATTTCACTTTAGAGCAAGCCGGCACTGAGGGAAATTTTAGGCAGTACCACTGTCTAACTTTTCCTTTTAAAAATGCTAGTTTCTTGACTCCTACGCTGATCCATTACTTTTGAAACACTGACCCAAAAGACGTGAGCAGTTTAATGTATTGGAGCTAAATATAACCAGCAACTAACATCTTCATTGGGTGGGAAAAATAGCAGCCGACAAGTATTTCACCATATAGATATACATCAAAGATCATATGGTGTCACAGAAAAAAGATATGCAATCAGACAGACATTAAACTAACAACAATCGCAACTTGACTGTTACAGCAGGTGTGTGTTTTAACATGTTGTCCAAAGGCATTTAGTATCAGAACTAGTGACAAGTGAAGCAGCCTGCTTTTGATTTGCAGGGGGTTTGATGTAGGGCTGCAACCAACTAATCAATTAATTGATAATCAATTATGAGAATAGTTGTCAACTATCATGAGAATATTGATGTATCACACTACACTTCCATGCCTAGGAGGGAAGAGAGCATAACATTTCAAAAGGAGAGACAGTGAGGAAGCAGCAACATGCTGAAAGAATCACAGTAAACAGAAGGCATCAGTCACTATTACGAGTTAAAAAGGTCCACTATACCCTTCCACGCAAGTAGCAGTCTGGCCAATTTATTTGTGTTGCAACGCATCCTGTATCACTGTATCATCCAGCAAAATATTGTGCTGCCAGGGCATTGGCGGCAGTGGCCGATTCCCAGCCACCATTCCTTTTTTTTTCCATTTTTGTTTTAAGGTTCTTTTTTTTTCATGGCATTGATCAGAAAAACGGTCAACCAAATATTGCTCACTTTTACCTTACCCCTCTATGGTCAAAGCAAAAGCAGAGATATTTGTGCTGCATGTGGAGGAAGAAGGTAGTGATCTTTGCAGATTTACCATTTTCCTCCTCCTCCACTTACCGTCATTCTCCAATCCCATCATACCCCTACAAAATGTCATCTGCAATGGATATGTTGTGTCAAGAGCACCAGCCACTTGGGCACAATGTGCATATGGCCAACCAAAGGAAGCTCCACTACAAAGCTCAACAAAAGCAGCACCTGGCAGAGACAACTTGGCAGAAGCAGTCTGTTTCCTCCCTGTTGAGTTACAGCATCTCCACCGCTCCCTCACATTCCTCTGACACATTAGCAACTACCTCTGCTACATCCAGCAAAAAGGAGAAAAGGTTTTCTAGGGGTCAGAGGATTTCCATTTACAATGTGAAGGCTGGAACCTCAACAGCACTCACCAACACCCTGTGGGAGTAACTGTGGGAGTAACAACATTCCAATGACAGGTTAATTTCTGTAGCTGCTGTTGTGGAAGAAGAAAAAAAGAAAAAGCTGTGCCCAAACCACCCCTAGTTTGGCAAACCTGCTGGAGCTACAGCTGCTTCTATGCCAGCTGACAAGGTTTTTGTAAAAATGGCATACTTGCTGACAGTCCTGCATCAGAGGAGGCAGGAAAGCCATGGCTGGGTAGGAGCTGTGAAAATGTCCACGAACCCTCCTGCTATAAGCAGGTAATGAAATCCTAGGATACCTGCACTTTAAATTAAGTTGGAGAACATGGGTCAGGCAAGACATGATGATACAGTAATACCTTGGTTTACGAGCATAATTCGTTCCGGAAGCATGCTTGTAATCCAAAGCGCTTGTATATCAAAGCGAATTTCCCCATAGGAAAAAATGGAAATTCAGATGATATGTTCCACAACCCAAAAATATTCATATAAAAATGATTACAATACTGTACTGTAATATAATACTGTACAAAATATAAAGAAAAATAAACCAATTTCCGGTTACCTTCGTGGCTGGTGTGAGGGGGACGAGAGAGAGGAGGATTATTGTGTAGGACGACTTTCAATATCACTAACGGAATCACTGATATCTCTTGGCTCAATGGAATCTTTTTCATTTCGTGAAACCTTAACAAGGAATCTATCCAATGTGACATTGCATTGTCGTTGAACAGACTCATCGCTCGCACTGCTACAGCCTTATTCGGGTGGTACTTTTCTACAAAATTTTGCTCTTAATGCAAGACATTTGCTTGTATATCAAGGCAACATTTTTCAGAAATGTTTGCTTGTCTTGCAAAACACTCTCAAACCAAGTTACTTGTAAACCAAGGTATTACTGTATACATTTTCACAGCTCCTACCCATCCATGGCTTTTCTGCCAACATTTAAAATCCTGCCACCTGCCAACAAGCTGGAATGTGACACCTCCACACACTGGAATTTCACATTGTACATGCTGCAGTGGTTGTACCAGCAGCAAGAAATTAAAGAATACCTGTGCGACTATGGGATGAGAAAAGGCTATGGGGAGCTTGGGTATTTTCACCCAGCAGTGGCTACTGAAACAGGATGCTTGCACGCTAGCAAGCAGGACGACTTTATACCAGTACCCCATGGCCACCAACAAGCTAACTTTGTCTACTAATTTCAAGGTTGGGGGGAAAAAAAAAAGTATCAGAGGCATTGAGTGGCTGAAGGGCAGGGTTGGGTGACTGGAGGCAAGGCATGTAGGCCTCTTGGGGGGAAACTTTCACCCTGCTTAAACGCCAGGCATGTGTAGGCGGGGTGAAAAATCCCCAGACAATGTTGTGCTCAGTGAGAAAGAATGTGAGGGACCATTGTTGGTCAAAATGGCCAATCTCAATGGCCTTCACCACCTTTGGGATTCTTTCTAATTTTAAGATAAATCTTTCAAAGTCTGGAATCTTAGACCTAAACTTCATCACAGCTGATAGTCAAGTGTTGAAACCTCACTTTACATTTGTTTGGAGTCACTCCAGGTTGAGGTACTTTGGAATATATTTTACACCTGTGTCCCCCTTATTTCAAGCTAACTACATGTCTTTGCTAAATGTTATAAGGGGTGATTTGCGTTGGTGGCATTCCCTCTATCATTCCTAGATCGGGAAGATTAACATGGTTAAGAACGCTTTGCCCAGATTATTCTTCCTGTTTAAATGATTCATATGGGAGTGCCTTTGAGCTATTTTCACATTTCATGATTTTTAAATATGTGTGGAATCACTCCAAGGTCCGGGTTGCTTGTTTGATATTAGTCTGCTCCAAGACCCAGAGAGGTTTGGCTTTCCCAGATTTTACAATGTACTATTGCGCTGCTGTGCTCATGCAGGTTTTGGACTGGACCTATGCTCATCAGTCTAAGAAATGGGTTGACCTGGAGTTGGCTTTGAGTAAATCTAATCTGCATAACATGGTTTGGCTTCCTAAACATTATAGAAACCTTTCAAGCACTGGGACGATGGGGGATTTGAGTCTGAATATTGCAAAATAGAATGTTTGTTTCCCAGTCAGAACACCTGCAGGTCTTCATTTAGAATTGACAGGTCCCTCCACATTCCACATAAGAGATGTTCTCTGGCTGTGATATTTTATTGCCCAGTCCCAGTGAAATTCCAAACGCTCTCTCTTAAGCCTTTTTATGGCCGTCAATAATTAAAGGCATGGCACCAAACATTCATATATTTGCCAGTGGACAATTTATATCAACAAGCAGGTCTGGAGGGGTGGTGACCCTGGTGAGCTCTGCATTCTCTCTAAAGTCATAAAACCTGAGGTTGAAAATTAAGTTACATTTTTTTAATTTGGAGTTGGGCGGGGATAGGTAAACTAAAGGTTCATCCTCTGCCTGCTATCCCGCCCCAACCCGGCCTAGGGGCTGGCTCTGGGACACCCTCCAAGGAGGGGCTTATAAAATATGTGTTTGCAACTAGAGTGGCTCTTGGTTTAAACATCATCGAGGAACTAGAAGTCTTAACATCGTAGAAGAGTTCCTGTTTGTTTACTATAACTACAATTATGAACGAATGGGGGTGATGTAGACCATTCCATTCATTCATAATTGAGTATATAGTTAACATACCATATCCTCAATTATGTACAAACACTCAGCGATCACTGAGTGTATGTACCTTGCTCTTCTCTCTGACACACTGTCACAGGAGGCTGATCGAGCGGTGTAGAGAGGAAAGCCCAGCCTCGTGTGAGACCGCTGTCTCCGGCCACTCACAGCCGGCCGGCCGCTCACAACGCTCTCCATCGCAGCGCTCGGCCGGCTGTCACTTTCTCTTTTCCCCGCTGGGACATGGAGCGGCGCTCAGCGGGGAGGAAAGAAATCAGGGATGTGCCGATGTATCGGCAGGAGAATTACACTTTCGGCATTATGCCAAAAGCGCCATTTTCGGCCGATATGTTTCGGCGGTCGATATATCGGTGCATCCCTACTTTTAATCTTTGGAAATTATCTGCTGGAAGTCTGCTTGAATTAGAGCCCTGCAGACTTCCACTTTGCTTCTTGAACTCTGTCAGAACTCCTGGACTGTTGAGCATTCTTCTTTTATTCCCTTTTATTTTGCTGTTGTATATATATATATATATGTATATATATATATATGTTGTCTATTTTATTAAATCTTTTTCTGGTTATTTTCTGCACTGTTTCTTTTATTAAAGGACG